GCAGGGCGTGGTGGGGGCCTGCCGGGGGGGGTTAGAGGGGGGGTGCAGGGCGGTGTGGGGGCCTGCCGAGGGGGGCAGGGTGGGGCAGGGGCGATGGGCCCAGGCTTACGAGTGGCAGCTACACACAGACGCTCTCACACACCATTGTACTTACACACATACACACACACTCGCACTCACACAAAGACACATACACACGCACACTCGCACTCAGACAAGGACACACAAAGGAACTCCAAACCCTGAAAACCATGCATACCGACTGCTGAGTTTTGCGGAGTCTCCAGACTGTTTCAAAATTTGCAAACACATTCAAACCCCGGTCCGCGCATATCAGTTTTTCTCTCTCTCTCTCTCTCTCTCTCTCTCTCTCTCTCGCTCTCTCTCATCATCTAACGCCATTCATTCCTCGAGCCGGGGTCGTTGTCGTCGCTGCCGCTGTTGTCCCCCGATTGATCCGTGGCCTCGTCATCATCTTCAATGATATGCGGGTTCTTCTTTGCCGCTCGCTGTTTCCGTTCTCTGCGAGGGGGCAGATCTTCCGGTTCACACACCGTCTCAGGTCGTTGTTTCCGAGGTCTTCCCCGTCCCCTCTTTGCCGCAGTGATTGGTGCAGTCTGTTCCACCTCCTTCCTCTTCCTTCCCACCGTGCTCTTCTCTAGGTTGTCGTGCTGCAATTCAGCAAGCAAAGGAGGGAAGTCTGGCTGAGACTCYTCGGAGGGCACAGTGGGAGGTGGGCGTGCAGTGGCTGCATGCGTCCGCCTCTTGTAGACATGCGGCACATCTRGCCTGCCTTGTGCACYGTGACCCTCTTCCTGTGCTTCCTCGTTCTGTTCGGCRGATGGATTACAACCTTGCTGTGTCTTTTCRGTCAATTCACGGTGCGTTCGTGATCCRGACGCTGTCTCCTCCAAYGCCGCTTCGGTCTSTTGCCCACCTCCTGCTGCAACGGCCACACTTCCTGTTTCCGTTTGCGCAGCACCACGTCCCTCCCCTGGGTCCCCTCSTTTTCCTRCGGTCCGACGGGGAACRGCCACACGCYTCRCTTCCTCCTCCTCCAYACGCTGCATCACGATGGCATGATCTCTCTTTGCAAGTGCTTGTGCCATCGCTCTCACGGCCTCGTCATCATCATCCGTGGCTCGCTGTCGGAYTTYARAACGAGGCATCAAGARCTCCAGATCGCTATCCAAGTGACCTGTTGGTTGCCCSATCGTAAGAGCATCCCCATCCTCATCGTCGTCGTCGTTGTGCTCTTCGTCAGAGTYCACGCTCCCTCGAAGTCCAAACTCCATGTCGTCGTATTCATCCTCCTCTTCTTCCTCTTCTCCATAATATTCGTAATCGACTTGCGCTTTACCCTTCCCCTCCAGTGGAGCATCCAAACATTCCATCCCCTGTCTTTTGTTCCCCTTCCCCCGCCATACCAGATCCTCCCCATCATCGCTGCTGTCGGTCCCGCTGGACTGGTCCACCCTCCCCACCTTCGGAATTCTTCCGTACGGCGCCTTCCTCAGGCGATCCCGCCGAGCCACCTCTTCCGTTGACGGGAGCGCGTCATCGGGAAGAATGTCAGGATCTGCAGCAGGCAGAGGACCGTCCACACCAAAGAAATCAGCCCACATGTCGATGAAGCCCCCTGCCTTCTTCTTCTTCACCTTCAACAACTGCAAGTTCCAGTGCACATAAACAAGCTCGTTTATAGTGTCGCTGGAAAGCTGGTTTCTCCTCTTCTCATGCACGAGGTCCATAGTGGACCAGTTGCGCTCGCAGGTGTGGCCGTGCTCCACATCGCTGTCACACGAACTGCAATGCGCTGCAGTTTCGGGTGACCCTTCCCGTGGCACCCCCACCAATCTGAAGAGGTGTGCTTCTTAAGGCTGCTGTCGAACTTCGCAAAGTCTGTCCAGAAACTGTCTTGCTTAGCAGGTGGCAGGCTCGAATTCCCCTGCGGCTCTTTGTGGAACACTTTCAAATCTTCCCACAGCAGGAGCTGGTCCTTGCACCCCCATACCGCCCCTCCTCGCATTGAGACAGCAAAAACTTCATGGTGTTCTGCATAAGCGGGCACCTGGGGTCTTGCATGCATCGAGGGTCGCGCTTTGCGGGGTTGAAGAGGAAGTTTGCTCAATGCACCGGCTGGCGCATCATTTTGCAGCGCTTCCTTACTTTCTTCGCGATGGATTCCTGCCGCGCCGGTGTGATGCTGGGAATGGTGGCCATCCGCTTTATCAACGCATCCTCGAAGCCCCGCAACTGGTAAGGGGTGGTCCCGTCTCTTGTCCATCTTCCGCAACAGATCGTACACCGGATACATGACATCCACGGCCGCCTCCACCTCCCTCCACCAATCGTCAGAGCGAATTGTCATGTACACAACGTCAACAATGTTGCGCTTCTTCCTGAAGACCACTTGATGTCCAGCCACCCTTCCTTCATCATGTTCTTCAGCACCTTCTTCCGGTTGAACAGCCTCTCTAACATGAGATACACGGAGGCAAACCGCACGTCTGTAGGCATGATGAGTGTCCTGGTCCGTTCCATCTCCGAGCTGTCAAGGAACATCTGCGCTGTCTTGTGGTGGTTCTTGATGCACTTGACAATGRTCTTGCCCCTCTTGTACAACTCGTGGACCCATGGCTCGTCGCTGATTCCCTTGAGAAGCAAGTTGAGGCAATGAGCTGCGCAAGGCACCCACGGAATCCGTGAGATGTTGAGATTTGTTCGCCTCCTCAACAGCCTGGCCGCATGCTTGTTCACCTCGGCATTATCTGTGCACAAAGCATTCACTCTTTGCACACCGATCTCACGGATCACCCCCTCCCACAACGTGATTGCAGTCTTCTTTCTCTTCGACATATCGACCACCTTCAGCAAAACAGCTCCGCTCTCGCCGGCTGCAATGAAGTTCATGACGGGTCGGAACTTGCGATCCGTGCACCCGTCTGTGATCAGTGTGCAGCCTGTGAAGTCCCATCCCTCCATCAACGGCCTCATCGACTCTCTTGTCCGTTCGTATGCAATGTCGAGGACAACTGTGGCCATCTGCATTCTGTTCGGCGTCTTCACCCTTTGCTTCTTCTCCCCCAGCTCCAAGTACAACTCGTGGAGCTCCTGCGTCTTCTCCCCGGTCACATAGTTGAAGGGAGCCCCGTGCTCGTACAAATGAAACCCCCACGCGATGTCCAAGCTCTGCTGCGAGGTGTTTTCTGTCCACCGTCAGATGGAAGCTTGTTGCAACTTGGCGGACGGTCGTGCTGTCGCAGATCCCTCAGCTGATGGCCCCCCCCCCCCCTCAGGAATGTTTGATCTGTCATCTGTCACCCCACAAGCCCCATCTGCACTCTCGCCAATTGCCTCTCTGCCTGGTGCCGGCGGGGTCACGATGAAGTCCGCCAAGGTTTCTTCCTCCGCAGCGTCCACCACAGGTTGTGCATTCGAATAGTCTGCGATGTCGTTCTCCCGTCGGTACAATTGGATGATTCTACGTGTGCTGGGACAGTCAATCTTCGCCCCCTTGCTTGCTAGGATATGGAGGATCTCCCCTGTCCGCCCTGGACATGGGTCTCTCTTCGCTGTGAAATGGCCGACAACACGTGTGTATGACGCTGTCCACAACCGGCCATAGAGCTTGCACTTGTGCCAATAGTTGCCATACCCCAAAGGTTCCGCCTCCTGTCTGCGCAGCACCCATTTGTACGCTGGTTTGTTCTTCTCCAGATCCATCTGCTTTGCTTCCGGTGCAGGATCAAATGGCGGTTTGTCGTTGGCCCCCTTGCCCTTGCAGCCGCCTTTGCCCTTGCTGCCGGCTTTGCCCTTGCCTCCATCATCGCCCATGCGGCCACAATCGTCCTTGCTGCCAGAGGGGCCGCACGAGGAAGACATGAACTTCGTGGAGAAGAGGAGGAGGAGGAGGAGGAGGAGGAGGAGGAGGATTGTAGATGGACAAAAAAAAAAACTCGCTAACTCTCTCTCTCTCTCTCACACACACACACTCCCGATCTGCCACGTCGTGTGCACTCCCGAGCTGCCACGTGGAGCTGCCAAGAAGAAGAAGAAGAAGAAGAGGAGGAGGAGGAGGAGGAGGAGGAGGAGGAGGAGGACCGAGGATGGGGGAAAAAAAAAATTGCTAAGTCTCTCTCTCTCTCTCTCTCTCTCACTGCCGATCTGCCACGTGGTGTGCAATCCCGAGCTGCCACATGGAGCTGCCAAGAAGAAGAAGAAGAAGAAGAAGAAGAAGAAGAATAGAAGAAGAAGAAGAGGAGGAGGAGGAGGAGGAGGAGGAGGAGGACCGAGGATGGAAAAAAAAAAAAATCGCTAAGTCTCTCTCTCTCTCTCTCTCACACACTGCCGATCTGCCACGTGGTGTGCACTCCCGAGCTGCCACGTGGAGCTGCCAAGAAGAAGAAGAAGAAGAAGAAGAAGAAGAAGAAGAAGAAGAAGGAGAAGAGGAGGAGGAGGAGGAGGAGGAGGAGGAGGAGAACCGAGGATGGAAAAAAAAAAATTGCTAAGTCTCTCTCTCTCTCTCTCACACTGCCGATCTGCCACGCGGTGTGCACTCCCGAGCTGCCACGTGGAGCTGCCAAGAAGAAGAAGAAGAAGAAGAAGAAGAAGAAGAAGAGGAGGAGGAGGAGGAGGAGGAGGAGGCAAAGGACCAAGGATGGAAAAAGTTCGAAAAAAAAAAAAAATCGAAGTCTCTCTCTCTCTCTCTCTCTCACACGCACACAACCCCGATCGGCCACGTGGTGTGCACTCCCGAGCTGCCACGTGGAGCTGCCAAGAAGAAGAAGAAGAAGAAGAAGAAGAGGAAGAAGAGGAGGAGGAGGAGGACCGAGGATGGAAAAACAAAAAAATCTCTCTCTCTCTCTCTCTCTCTCTCTCTCTCTCTCGTGCGCACTCCCGAAAAAGAAGAAGAAGAAGAAGAAGAAGACGGCGTACCTGGTGTCGACGACGGGCAGCGGGAGGGTGCGGTGGTGCGACGAGCAGACGGGCAGCGGGAAGCCCAACCTCGAAAACGGGCGAGGATGCTCGACTTCGAAATGGCGCGGCGTGGTGGACTTCGCCCGCGCGATTTTGCGTGGCCTTCGAAGTGACTTTGCCCGCGCGATTTCGCGCAAGCGTTCAACTTCGAATGCCACGCAAAATCGCGCGGGCGAAGTCCATCACCCCGCGCGATTTCCCAGCCGTCGATCTTGATGATCGACGACCCGAGATGGCCTTTGAACTTTGGGTGTGTTTTGCGGCCGGTAGAGCCGCCATTTTTTTTTTTTTGTCAGACTGTGGGGTTCGCAGCCCCCCAGGCGGCCCCCAGGCCCGAAATGGGGTCTTTTTCGTTTTTTTTTTTACTCGCGCAAATCAGGCCCGGGACCCCGACCGGGCCTCACGACCGGCCGGGCGCCCGGTCGCCGACCCGGGCGTGGCAGGGGGACCCGGTGGCCCGGGAAATCTACCTAGGTTATTTTATTTTTGTGGAAAAAAATATATATTTGGGAATGGTTGACATCGCAAGCTCAAGCGGTCTTGGGGATGACAAGGGCAAAGGCCCTGTAGTCCCCAAGACGACCATTGAGCTAGAGATTGAGAAGGAAGAGAAGGCCGCAAAAGAAACCCGGAAGCAGATTGAGTGGCTTAAGAGAGAGAAGGCCGAAGGAGATAGTAAGTCTCAGGATGCAGCCAGACGGGCAATGCTGGCAGAGCACGTATTGGCTGCTGAATTTGATGACAGGTTCAACGACACTAACAGGAAGTTGGCTCTGTGGATCCGCATGGAATTCACCGCAGTCAGAGATGCCCTCACTGCCTGGATGGACAGGGCCTCTGCGGTGGAAGACCGTCTGACTCAGGTTGAAGTGAAACCGTCTTCCATTGTAAGAAACCCTTGATCTGATTAGAAAAAGTTTTTCTACCCGTACTCCCTGTCCTACCTCTACTCCTCATTCACCCAAACCCAAACCCAAACTGGTCTCCACTTCTGCTGCAACGCCCCCCAGTTCTCCAAACGCCAAAGCAACAGGCTGTCCTTGAGGAGATGGGACTTGATGTTGACACTTCAGGGGAGGCGGAACAGCGATTCCCCAAGATGATGCCACCTGACAAATTCACTTGGGATGACCCCAAAGTGGCTGTGTCAGATTGGATCGCTTCTATGAAGTCCTATCTGAGGCGATTCATCTGCCCAGAGGTTAACAAAGTACATTCCACTGTGGCCCTCTGGGGTGGGTCAAAGTTGAAGTGGGCTACCTCTGAGGCTACTAAGTCTCAACAGGAGTTGTCAGATTGGGCTGCTGCATCAAGACTGTAGATCATCTTTCATGGCCTGGAGGTGAGATTCACAGATGAGGAAAAGGCTCGCAAGGGTACAAATGAGCTGGTTAGTCTTGGCCAAACAAAGTACAGGGGTTCCCTGGCCAAACTCTATGAAGAATTTGAGGGCTTTACCTCTACTCCTGGTTTGGAGATGTCTGATCGTGACCAATTGACTTGGTTCATCAGGGCAACTCTTGAGAAATACACTACGACCTTGTACTTTGCAGGGCACAAGGACTGGCGATCTTTTGGAAGAGCAGCCTTGAACATGGAGGCTACACTCTTCCCAAAGTAGGAGGAAGGGAAAGGGAAATTTGTATACTATGGAACCTGATGACAACTCTGCAAGCATTGGCCAGGAAGGATCTACTCCCATAGCTGGCCAAGGTGCAAGAGTATCACCAAACTTGGCTGCTTAGATGTTGGCCCAGACACTGTTAGTCCTCAAAGGAGGCAAGAAGTTCCAGGGAAAAAAGTCAGCCAGCTCTAAGGGGTCAGGCAAACGCCCCCGGTGCTCCTCAACAACAAAACCTCCCAAAGTTTACCAAATGTCCAGTCAGTCCCATGAATGCTTCCTCTTTGCCTTGGAGAGATCTGAGAATCCCGAAGTGTGTATGGCGTATGGCAAAAGAGGAAGGACAGGGGAGCCTGTATGAGGTGTGAGGGCAACCACTATGTCAAGAATTGCCCCAAGCTGAACCACAACAAGTGCAACCACTAAAAAAACTAGATAGGCCATTAGAGACCGCAGTTAGTCGTGTTGAACTGAATCCATCTCTATCAAGGGATGAATCGACTGCTGAGCCTAAATTTTTTGAGGCTGTAGGGGACTGAATGTACTCATACATCGAGACCTTTATTGATGACCTCTCATTTGAGGAGGAGCTTGGCCAACTCTGTTCTCTTCATCTCCATCTGAAAGAGAAGAGAAAGAAGAGATCAAAATTGATCATGCTCAAGCCTCAAATCAACAAAACCAAGACCAAAGCCCTGCTTGATTGTGGAGCAACCAGAAACTTCTCAGAATGAAGTTCAAAAACTCCACTTGGCCCTCAAGGTTACTGATTTTGAGCACCTTCGTGGAGATTTAGGTGGGCAATTCCCGATCTGTCTCAGTCAAGCAGGTTATCAAGGTTGTGCCAGTCACCTTTGATGACAAAGGGGAAATCAGATAGTCCTTGAACTTTTATGTTTTGCCCCATCTTCCTTCTGATCTGGTCCTGAGTATGAAGTGGTTGAGGGCCACTAACCCTTCAATTGATTGGGCTCGGCCCAGTATCCAATTGAAAAACCCACAGGAGGAGCTAAGACAATGTGTCTTAACTACTGATCATCATCCTAAGACATGTTGTTATTGCTTGACACCGAGGGAGTTTTACAACTTGTCTAAGGAGACTGACCATGAGAATCTGTTTGTGGCTTATGTCACTCTAACAGATTCAGATTCCTCCCCTTCTCAAATTGTTTTTTCCATTCAACAGGTGGTTGATGAGTTTGCTGACTCCTGGACTTGTGTATAGGCAGACCAAGCATCATATCCGAATTCTGCCTGACTCTACCCCTCCCAAAGGGAAGAGTCTGGAAAATGTCACCTGCTGATCTGGATGAGTTGAGGAAATAGTTGGAGTCCTTGACAGAGAAGGGTTGGATCAGCCGTAGCTCATCTGAGTATGGGATACCAATTCTCGTTGTTCCAAAAGGGAATGATGAGCTCAGGATGTGCATTGGCTATAGAGGCCTGAACAAAATCACCAGGAAGAGCTCTGAGGCCTTGCCTAGGATCGATGACTTGGTAGACATGATGCAAGGTTGCAAAGTCTTCAGCGAAATTGATATGAAATCCGGGTATCATCAGATCGAAATGGCTAAAGAGTATGTACACAAGACAACCTTTAAGACCCGGTATGACACCTACGAGTTCTTGGTCATGCCTTTTGGTCTGTGCAATGCACCAGGGACATTCCATACTAAAATGAATAAGATTTTCAGACCCTTCCTTGACCGCTTTGTTGTTGTGTACCTGAATGACATTCTGGTGTTCAGCAAAGATGCCAAGGAACGTCTAGACCACCTCAAGAAAGTTTTGCAGGTCCTGAGAGAATACAAGTATAAACTGAACAAAGAGAGATCATCATTTGGTGTTTCCTCTGTTTTATACTTAGGTCATGTGATTTCTGCAAACGTTTTATCCCCTGATGCCTCTAAAGTGGCTGCTGTCAGGGAAGGGCCACAACCAGAAATTGTGAGGGACATCAAATTTTTCATGGGGTTAACCTCTTACTACAGGAAGTTTATTAGAAACTTTTCCTCTATTGCTACACCCCTGACATATCTGCTAGCTAAGGATGTTCCCTTCAAGTGGACAACCACTTATCAGTTAGCTTTCTCCAGATTGAAGAAAACACTCATCCAAGCACCTATGCTGAAACTGCCTGACCGTACCTTGCCATTTGTGCTGACCACAAATGCAAGTCAATATGGCGTTGGTGCAGTCCTTTAGCAAGATGATGGGACTGGTCTGAAGTTGATGGAGTTCATGAGTAAGAAGATAAAGGTGCAAGAATTCAAGCATCTACTTATGAAAAGGAATTGTATGCTGTCGTTTATGCCCTCAAACAGTAGAAACATTTTTTAAATGGGAGACACTTCAAGATCTATTATGATCACTCCACTCTACAGTTGACGAAGACCATACTTGCGGCGCATCGATGTGTGCTGCACCGCGCACACGCGCCGCACTGCACACAGCGCACGATGCGTGTGCACGGGGTGTGGCGCACCCCAAAAATAAGGGGTCGAGAAAAAAAAAAAAGTTGGGGGGGAGGGGTGTTTTAGACTCGAGTGGGATGTTGCGTCGTAAACCACAAAAAAATATTAACAAAAATTTGAGGCCGTGCGGGGCCTCCGAAAAAAAAAAGGGGAAAGTTTGTTTTTTTGTTTGTGTGTGTGTGTGTGTTGTTTGTGTGTGTGTGTGTGTGTGTGTGTGTGTGAGAGAGAGAGAGAGAGAGAGAGAGAGAGAGAGAGAGAGAGAGAGAGAGAGAGAGAGAGA